CCAATGTATCACCATTCTACAACGCTATTAACATTGACGTCAAAAGAGGAATTAGGCAAGGCGATACCATCTCGCCAAAACTATTCATCGCTACCCTCCAAAACGTCATGCGAACATTGGATTGGGGTAATATGGGAGTGAAAATCGATGGTCGGCAGTTACATCATCTTCGCTTTGCTGATGACATCGTCCTTATAACACCAAACATTAGCCAAGTGGAATGTATGCTTGACGACTTTGATAAAACCTGTGGAAAGATCGTTCTTCGACTAAATCTCACAAAAACAATGTTCATGAGGTATTTATTTATGTGATCTTACAAATTAATCTTCTTAAGCTGACTCGAGGTTGGTACAGGTGCGGGACGTAACATCACGGCTTTAAGGAAGACGAAGTCACCGAAACGTCAGCCATCGATCAATAACATCAAAAACAACGACAACGACAACGAAGATCTGTAGCACCCTCGCGTCAGCTTAAGAAGATCAGTTTATAACATCACATAAATAAATATGTCAACCATCTATGCCGAGGTTTATAGAAAGTCGGTCTTTCGAATGTTCATGAGGAACGAATTGGTTTCGCATGCCCCATTCACGCTCAACGGAACGAATATCTCCGAATGCTCCAGTTATGTCTATCTAGGTCGGGAAATCAATATGATGTACGACTTAGCTCCAGAGCTGAGCAGAAGGAAACAAGCGGCTTTGGGAGATCTCAAGAGCACCGAGGATATAGTGAAGAGAACAAAGAACACCCGGCTCCGTGCCCACATTTTCAACTTAACGGTATTTCCTGCCCTAACGTATGCGTCAGAAACCTGGTCGCTGCGTAGGCAGGATGAAAGGTCACTCAGCGTTGTCGAACGCGCAGTCGCAAGGACGATGCTAAGAGTATCCCGTTTCACACAAGTAAGGGATGGGATTCGACCTGCGTCACCGATCAAAAATCAAGGATGCCGTTCAGTAATCTAAACAGTCGAAGATAATGTGGGCCGGTCACGTAATGCGTATGAATGACAACCGATGGACAACAGTCGTTAGTGACTGGATTCCCTATGATGTCAAACGTACTGCAGGAAGACCACCGACCACCGATGGTCATAGTTCTTCACATGGAGCGTTGAAGAAAGATATGATGCTCGACGAGTCCCTAGAATACAGGTGATACCTTACAATATTGGTGTTGCTGATTCAGGTATTTGCTAATAAAATGGAAACATAAAGGAACGAATAGAATCTAAAAGAATTTTATGCACAAAACCTTTTTTCAAAGATGTCTTACACCGTCTCTCGAGTGTATGTCGTTCAAATTTGCTAACACAATAAAAAGAGATCATGTTACATATTGGGTTATTAAAAGGGGTTATTTTACAAATTGGGTCATGAAGACAGGTCTCTTCTCCTAGAGTTATAATAGTGCTTGGTTGACTTTTCTAGGTTCTGAAGATGGCGAAACCACCGGAACGTTAGCCGGTACTGTAGTGCAGATCTTATTGTTGACAGCCTCATGTCCTCTCAAGAGAAAAAGAACAGTAAGTTATTAATCAATGAAAACATACCGGTTGACGTTGTTCTAACTGAAATAGCTATCAAACTAAATGTTAGTTTTGCAAAAAGTACGAGCAGTGTGCAAGAAGTAATGTCATCCTTTATGCCAGTACTGCCAGAATTTTCCAGAACACAACCAGAACATCCAACTTCGATAATTTCCACTTAGGATTAATGCCGAATAAAAAAAAGACGTGTAAATTTCGTGCTCCAATCCAACATGGGTATACGGTATAAACTTCCTTTATTTCCCGCTAAGGGCTGCGAGAAATGAGATAGCTCTGATTGTTGTGTCGGTTACTGGTTTTTACCTTCTTTTGCTCTATTATACATGATCCGACCTAACGTACTGTGCGTATGACAGTACTTCTTCCATCCCGTTCTCTTCTTGGCATCCATTATCCGCGAAGTTCCTGGATTTGCGTGTGGAATCAGCTGCTCATCTAAGATTTTTGGTCGTCTTCACAAATGTAGTCGAATTTTGGTCGAGTCGGTTTTCTTTGGAATCCTGAGGTGGTCATGCTAGGACATTTCCAGATCATGATCACAGATAATCAACAGCTTTTGAGGATCGGAGAGATCGAGGTGATACCAGAGGAGTCTGGCTGCCATTACCTGACCACAGAGCGACGTATGGTTAGCACCATGAGTGCTCGAGCAGGAGAGCCTTACTGAATTCAGTGAAAGTACATAAAACCCGATTACTTCGGCTCTGTTTTTGTTTATACATCTTGTAGTAGAGTTTCGTTGTTACCTCTTGCTGCGCATTTTTTCACAGAATGTTCCGTAACCGTTTACATAACATCGTGTTCAGGTAAAATGCGGTTGCTAAGCGCTCTCGAAATCCGGACTTCTTGGTTAGAAAGCCCAAGTTTCCATGAACCGAAGCCGAAGGAAAAGTGAGTCTGAGTAGATTTATCTTATTTTTAAACTAACCTCGTGTTAGCTTAATAGACGGCGAAGGGTAGTGTCTAGTAGGTGTGCTGTATTCCCTCAGAGTGTCCAAAATATGTTCGTTTTGCATGCGGTCGTTCATTTTCAATAAATACATGGATTAGCCCTGTTATTCTCTTTTTTTATAGCAATCGCGAGGCTGTTATTCAGCACACGTTAACTTTCTTCCAAATATAACACATGCAACACAACGGTAGCTGACATTTCGGCAGTATCGCCGTCTTCAGACCCTGGAAGGGTAAACTAATATGTAATTTACTAGGTCAGACGCTTCAGCAACGCAAACAGAAAGGTGGAAATCTGAACAATAATTGCACGATCACTGGCTTCTCGAAAAACCCACCGTTTTTGTCTGTTTTCCATCAAGGAAGAACAGCCGCTTAGAGTTGCATATGGTTGATTACTGCACCACCCCACATCAAAAATCAGTTCTGAGATACGGGGCTAGATCACGTGTTATCTTAGGGCAGTCAGTCTTCCTGCTATTCATTCTCTGATTTTTGGAATTTGTCCAAAAAGCCACGAAAATCTTGCAAGTTGGTGTTTTAGTCTCCCGTGCGATGAGAGCGACTTTTACATCAAAATCTCCTCTATGTTCTTGTATCCCATGCGTTCCTAGTGGCGGGCCTTGTTTTGGTTTTCGTTTCCCATCTAGGTGTTCTTTTATACGGATACAGAAGGGTCTTCCCGTTTCGCCAATATATTCATCTCCGCAAGAACTACAAAAAATCAAGTATATCGTGCCTGAACTCGTGCAGTCACCATCTCTGCAGTAAGAGCAAATTACGCAATTTGGTGTTTCACGTAGGCGTCATACAGGCGGTTAGGAACAAACAGACGACATGGAGTATCCAGTGGTGTTCAAACTATTGCTACCGATTCCTCTAGATCTGCGCTTCTTAAGCATCGCTTTATCGCTGCACTTATTTCATCGCTAATGATGGGCAAGGTAAACGGGATTTCGGCCAAACTCTTCGTTTTGGGGCGTCGATCTCCTTCTAAACTTATCTCATGGGGTTACTATCTCGTAGCCATTGGAGATGGCTATTTCCTGAGCCAAGTTGCGCGATTCTTCCTTTAGTTTCCTGCTTGTACACGCAGAGGTTCGAAACATGTTTCTCACAAGCGCCCTCTTTGTGTATGAAATGCGGGTAGAAAGGTAATGAACGAGGATGTTCTTGTTACTTGGCTTTCGGTACCACTTTGTCAAGTAACCGCTACTTGATAGGCTTGTCTGAACGTTTAAGAACGGAAGCTAGTTTTTTCTGGGTATCTCCCGGGGAACTTAATGTACTCAGACTGCTCGTCCAATAATTCGAAGCATTTGTCCATCTCCTCCTGCGTAGAGAGGACGACAACACAGTCATCTATGTACCTGCAGTAGTTTTGGCACTCCTTTAAGAGAGCCATAAGCTGCTGGATGGACGAGCCATGCATATTTATTCTTCCTTCATGTTCAACAAGAAGTTCGAAGATGGTTTGCATTGCGGAGTCATTCGATACGTTGGTGTAAAGCGCGGAAGCGTCGAAGGACTCCATCACGTACGCGTTATTAGGAGACGCATTACGTAGACGTTCTAGGAACATTTGGGTGTTCGTGAGGTAAGCTGGAATATGTTTAAGCATTTGGGTTAGTATTAGACTTAGAAACCAGGTTATCCTATCTGTTGGCGCGTTTACACAGCTGATGATTGGTCTAACCTTAAATAAATGCGGAGACGAATATATCGGCGAAACGGGCAGACTTTTATGTATCTGCTTAAAAGGACATCTAGATGGCAAACGAAAATTAAAATAAGGCACGCATAGGATACAATAACAGCTGAGAAGGTTTTGATGTTAAAGTCGCTGTCATCACGCGGAGACTAAAAGAGCAACTTGCAAAATTTTCAAGGCTTTTTGGATAGATTAAAAAAATCTGAGAATGAATAGCAGAGAGTAATGCCCTGAGATAACGCGTGATCTAGCCCCATATCTCAGAACTGATTTTTGATGTGGGGTGGTGCAGTAATCAACCATATGCAACTCTAAGCGGCTGTTCTTCCTTGATGGAAAACAGACAAAAACGGTGGGTTTTTCGAGAAGCCAGTGATCGTGCAATTATTGTTCAGATTTCCACCTTTCTGTTTGCGTTGCTGAAGCGTCTGACCTAGTAAATTACATATTAGTTTACCCTTCCAGGTTCTGAAGACGGCGATACTGCCGAAATGTCAGCTACCGTTGTGTTGCATGTGTTATATTTGGAAGGAAGTTAACGTGTGCTGAATAACACCTCGCAGTTGCTGTAAAAAAAGAGAAGAACAGATTTGTAATCCAGTGCCGAGGTTAATAGAAAGTCGATCTTGGGAACATGAATTAGCATTACGTGAAGGCTAAAATCCCTTAATGGTTGGAATATGAATGCGAGATGCCGTTTTAATTGGACAAGTTTCGTGACACTTTCGATTGCGAAAGAGAGATCGGGTTTTATTCTGGTACTTCAATCTGGAAAGGTTCTTGCCATCAGTAAAAGCTGAACAAGTTCGGTTTGAAGTACTTATATGCATAACTTCGCATTTTAGACTCGTTCCAGTGAAAGGGAAACGAAATATTTTGGTCACTTCCGCTCTTCCGTATGTGAATAACGTGCCGCATTTGGGTAATATTATTGGATGCGTTTTGAGCGCTGATGTGTTCGCAAGGTTTGAGTTCATATATTTTTCCTCATTTTTGTTTAATAAGTTGAAATTCTTTCTTATGAAATTGTTTCATAATTGATTGGCAATTGTCCTGAACCTTGTGGAGAAAGTCTTAGGTATTGCCGCCTACGCGGACACGAAACCTTGTACATCTGCGGGACTGACGAATATGGAACAGCTACGGAAACAAAGGTACAATCTATTGAATTAACTATGGGTCGTTCAGTGGCTTCTAAGTGCATTTTAGGCCTTAGCGGAAGGTGTGACACCTCGAGAGGTTTGTGACAAATATCACGTCATTCACAAAGAGATCTATGAGTGGTTCAATATAGAATTTGATATCTTTGGTCGAACGACTACACCGCAGCAAACTGAGTAAGTTCAAATCTTGAACAGGTAATTTGGGGCTACATAGAGTTAATTCTTAATTGTTTAGGATTGCGCAGGACATTTTCTTAAAGTTGTATGAGAATGGGTTTACATCGACTTCCTCCATCGACCAGTTACATTGTCAGAATTGTGACAAGTAGGTGGCTTTCAGTTAAATTAAGCATTTTGTGATAAGAGATGTCATTCGTGCTTGCCGTTATAGGTAATAGATCAGCGATATAGCTGTGGTCAGGAAGAACCGGTAAAATGATAATATTGTAGCTTGTTCCAGATTTAAGGCTGTCGGAAAATCCTTTCCCCTACAGGTGCAGCATCGGTGTTTACTAAACTGACAGCTAGGACAACTAGGCAATTCGAGTTTCGTGAATGGTGTGAAGTCAATTAGGACATAATTCTGCGGTAGTCGAGTTAGTGCTCCACGATGGTGTAGGGAAACGTCCTATATTATTCCGTGTGTAGTTGGGTTTGAGTAGTCGCTTATATGAGATCACAGCTAATCGCCATCAACGTAGTGTCGACTTCGGCTTCCAGGACTTTCGAGGCACATAACGACGAGGCGAGACATAGTGGCGTCGTATAAAACGGTGACACGCGTGGTCTTACCGCGTAGTCACTCGTAATTGATGAATACTCAATTTTATGTTTTATGCTCTTTGTTTCTCGCTGCTATCTCTAAAATTCTACGTCGTTTTATATTCTTTTGGAGAATCTAGAATATTCTACCAAAGGGCTAAAATGTCGAGTCTAGAGGTTTTTAAAATAGGAAACCGGCATTTTTTCCAAGTGGTTACATTAGTTTCTCGCCAACTTGGTATCTTTCTTAGATACGCAAGGTTATTATAGAATTTTTATTCGGGAAGTGTTTCGAAATTTTTGCTTTTCTCAACACTGGAGCGGTGTGAGTCCACAGCAGTTCTCGGCTTACGATGTGAGTCTTCGTAGTCACATCGACTCTAATCTTCTGATGTCGAACACCACCTGAGTGAAGTTTCCTCATTCGTCAGCGCTCGTTTATACAGGAAGGTTGTTCATCTATTGCATTCCGATATGATCCTCTTTTCTCGACTGTGGTGAATCCAGCAGCAGTCTGTAGTGAGATTAGGTAGCGCATAGCGAATCAAGTCTCTATCAGTGTTAAGTTGAAAATAGAGCAGTATGCAGATATCCATGAGCCTTCATAGCTTCCTATACTTTAGGCTTTGTGAGCCATCGTGAAACTCGTCTTATTAAAACGTTAGACAATTTGGTGTTTAAAATTTAGCTCTGAATGTAACAGAGAGTTGCTGGTTGAAATGCCCCATGATTTTGAAAAAGTGGAATCAATTACGTCTTGATGTACGCTTTTTAGGTTTTTGGCTGACCGATTCGTCACCGGTGCCTGCCCATTTTGTGCCTATGACGACGCTCGTGGTGACCAGTGTGACGGATGTAGTCGCCTTATTAACGCCGTTGAGTTGAAGAACCCAAAATGCCACATCTGCAAGCAGGAACCCAAAGAAAGTATATTGGCTGTTATTCATTTTATGTGGTACTCGAATGGCTTGTGTTCACAGTAATTCTTGGCACACCCAGCACATTACCTCTGAGAGATAGACGAGACGAAGGGCCCTCATGGTGTGGTGGTGAACGAGTTAGCTCCCGGAAAGGATGGTAATGCGTTCGTTCCCCACCGCAGACACTGCGGTCCGGAGTTTTGCAAACATCTCAACATCATTGTAGTTGTATTTCGCTTAATACCCTACCGTAAAAACTGTGTTAGCAGGAAATAAAAAGTAAAACATTACCCATTTATAACTTTAATGATACTGAGATATTTGCAAAACTCCGGACCGCAAGTGTATTCAGTGGGGTACGAACGCGCTACTGTCCTTTCCGCGTTACTCCCCGAAAAGGACAATAGTCCGTTCGTTTTCCACCGCATACACCTGCGGTCCGGAGTTTTGCGCAGCGTCATTGAGGTTATATTTCGCAATACACCCTGCCATTAAAAAAAAAGAGTAGACAGTAAGTGATAAGTTGAAATTGTCATTGCCCATTTAATTGGTAGATTGCTAATTTGGCATGAATTCTTTGCGGAGTTCCCGGAAACTGAAAACGCATTCTCAAAGCTTTATGGACTGAAGGTATATTTTACCACCTCGCGGTTGGGTTCATCCGAGGACGTCGGGGATTACTAACACTGTTTGTTCTCATTTGGGTTTTTCAATGAAGATGTCGGACTTTTGGGCTATGCCATTTGCGGTAGAATATATGCGCCCCGGGATGCAGCATTTCAACATCCAGGCATAACCTTGGCAACAATGAGACCATGAAATATAGAGCATCACTACTTTTTTTTTTTGTTACTGTATTATAACTTCCCTTTGAACCGTTTTGGTCTTTTAGGTACGACAGTCAACACACATCTTCCTACATCTGGATGCTATACAGGTTCGTTGTGACGTAAACATATGATTCAGAAAACCGTTAGTTTTATAGTTTTTAGCTGTTACGTTACCCACTTTGTTCTTTTGTAATGGAGTTGTTCTTTTGAAGGATGAGGTGCGTGAATATATCGAAAAGGAGATTGCGAAACCGGATACACGTTGGTCCTCGAACGCTATTGCCATTGTAAAGGGATGGATCAAGGTTTGATTAACTTATTGTTTGTTTATCGCGTAACGAACAGTGGACTTTTTCGACAATCTCACGTAGCTGGAAATAACCATGTGTTTTGATGTTAAACAAGCACATCTTAGCTTACTGTAGTTTTTCTTAGTCAGGTAAAACTTTGGAATCTACAAATCTTTACCGACAGGATGCATACCCTTGTTCTACTATGATAAAATCCTGGCTTTCCGGAACAAATGTGACATATTTCTTTTTCTGGTCGCTTTCCTTCGTTTTGGGTTGCTTCTCGAGCCCTGAAGCATTTAACAGTCAGAGTTAAAAAATTGCGGGGACTCTCTGGATCTGAGATGATGTCTGCGCTTCGGTTTACGTTAAAAATTCCAGAAACACTTTTTGCTTTCGGTTTCTGATGGATTAGAACTCTAAATAGGTCCAACATTGAGGCAATATTTTTGGAAAACTGTGTATATACATATACATACATATATGTATATACCTATATATACCTATGCATGTATCTATATGTGTATATATATAGGTGCGTATATGCGCATATGCTTGCACGCATAAATATGTGTATGTAGATGCATATGATATGTATATATATATATATATACATATATATATATATAAATGAGGCGATTTGACAAAGCCCGTCATATGAGACTTTGAAGATCTGAACTCCTCACCTTTGCTTGTTATGAAAAAATCGATAGCTGCTAGAAAACCAGCGTTAGGCGTTACGGGTTAACAGATTATCGGTTTATCTTAATTTCTTATTTTCCAGCATGGTTTGGAGAAAAGGTGTATAACTCGTGATTTGAAGTGGGGTACAGCAGTGCCACTTGCAGGATTTGAAAATAAAGTTAGTTCTTAGGTGCTATTTGACCCAACCATGTTTTTGATGTGCATAATATCGCATTTATAGGTGTTTTACGTATGGTACGATGCTCCCATAGGGTATCTTTCGATCACAAAATGTCTTGTTGGGGATAATTGGACCAAATGGTGGAAAAATCCCGAAAATGTCGAACTATTCAATTTTATTGGCAAGGTTGATTCTTTTTAATATTATTCAGGAAATCCAGTTGCTGTGAGCCTTTACGTATTGTTGTTCTACTTTCTAGGATAACGTTGCATTTCATGGGGTAATGTTTCCTTGCACTCAATTTGGTGCACGAGATAATTACACAGTAGTGAATAATATTTGTGCTACGGAGTACTTAAATTACGAGGACGTCAAATTTAGGTTTGTACAATTCTGTAAAGTTCAAAACTTTCGTTATTGGTTACAAGTGCTACACATTGTACTACGTCTTTATTTAAGAATTAACATGTTTCTTAAGCAAATCAAGAAATATTGGTGTGTTCGGTGATAATGCAAAGGAAACGGGTATTGAAGCTGATGTCTGGAGGTTTTACTTGCTTTATATAAGACCGGAGTCGCAAGACACATCGTTTAGCTGGGAGGACTTTGCTTTCAAGGTAAGTAGACTTTGAACGGGCAGGGTAGATTTTGAACGGATTTTTCTCCATTTTGGTCCATCTGCGTGAGGTTTTAGTGTTCAGGTGAATTCTGAGTTACTTGCAAACCTTGGAAATTTCATAAATCGAGCACTTACCTTCCTTAGCAAAAATTTTGATGGTGTAGTGCCAGAAATGCAGCTCAGTGACATCGATGTGGAACTGTTACTTGCAATTCAGGTGATATCTGTTATATATATACATATATATGCGTATATGCATATATATGCATGTATAAAGTTTTTCACTTGTTTTCTCATTCACTGTAATGTTGGTAATTTTTCGGTAAGTCGTTCCCTGTCAAATCTTGCAAAGAATTCTTTTTCTCACAATTGTAACAGGAAATTTAAGGCCGATTCTGTGGAGTGGGATAAGATGATGGATTCAGTTCATCAGAGAGACGCAGTGCGTGCCATTTTGTCAATGTCTCGCAGGGGTAACCAGTACATGCAGACTCAACAACCATGGGTGCTTATTAAAGGGAGTGACGAAGAGAAGTATGTGAATACTAAGCATTTCTAGGAAACTATGTTATAACTTAAATATTTTTGTAAGTTTGCATTCTTCGTTTTTAACTTCCACCATCGACTTGTGACTTTCCAGGAGACGTGCGGAGACCGTGATTGGAGTTGCTGCTAATATTTCTTACCATCTATCTGTAGTTTTACACCCCATCATGCCAGCGGTATTTCATATGCTTTATTGAGTTCGAATGTAAAACAGCTTGGAAAAGGTTTTTAGGTATCAGCGAGAATACGATCACAGTGTGGATCAGATCGCTTGCCAGCTTTTTCCACTTATCCTATCTCATATTTAAAAGCGGGTCATAGAATTGGGGAGGTCGGTTTAAATTTGGAGTTTGTACACAATTTTTCCCACTGTTTCTTACAAGCGATTGTTTTCATTTTAGTTAAGATGGCATGTCCTACTATATTTAGCAGTATTTTTTCAAATCATCACTCATTTCTAGCCGAAACCTCTGTTCACCAAAATGGAGAGTGCAAAAGTTGCTGAATGGAAAGCCAAATTTGGCGGATCATGTTCCTCTAGCAGTTTTCACGAGAGTGAAGGTACTACTAACTTAGTTTTTATTTATTTTTGATACGCGTAGATGGGTTGAAAAATGAGTTTCAATGGTGTCTAATAATGCCACTTCATTGTTTTCTTCCGTGTATTTCCTGTACCTAAATTTTTTCTTTCTTGACAGTTTTCGTTGAATTCGCGTATTCAAAACGTTTTTGTTTCTCTATCAAGGGGCGTTTTGTTCTGGTAAAGAGGATGTTTATGTTTCTACTTCCCTTACTTCTACCAGACAGCTTTAGTTTGCTGTCTTTTAGGTTCTGGATGTGTGACTGTGATAACTCCAAGAACCGTAAGTAATTCAAGGAGACATCGATGCTCTTCCATCTAGAATTTCCTGTTTCCTTGGAGCAGGTGGCCCTATTACGAAACGAAGGCCCCAACATCGAGCACATTTTGCACGACACTTCTCGCGTTGCTCTTTTGTTCCACTTTTCATTTTTTCGTAGCTGCTGTTTACGATTCCTTTCATCCTACTCTGCGGTCCCACAATTTTGTTTTTATTTGTCCTTTTCATTTTACATAGTTTTTAAATCACGTCTTCACTTTGCAAGTTTCACAGAGTGCAACATAGTCTTAGGATATATCCTCGTATGCCTACGTACTTATATCGGCGCATATATCTTCGCCGGAGCTGGTCAGCTGATACTCAGTTGATTTGCTTTTTCAGACAAAAGACCGCTTGGAAAAGTCAACGGAAACTCTTCGGAAGAAGACAAAAGTAGAACACCAAACATGCTAGCAGGTGCTTCAAAAATTGTCTTCACTGAGCTTGCTAACAACCGGCAACATATCGCAGAATTGTACGAGGCTACATTAAAGAAGTTCGATAAAGCTCGTAAGTAACGTTATCACTTCTAAACATTGGTATACCCTATAGGTAAATTCAAGTTACTGATAGCATTAATTCATATAGTGCAGAAACCGCATTGATTAACAGGTGCTTCGTTTGTGAAGCGAAAGGGAGTCGAACTATCAGAATCTGTGGCTGAACTTCGAAAGGAAATCGAGAAGACTCTGCAGCAATTAGCGGAAGCTGAAACTGCCGCAGGAAGTATTAATTACGAGAATACCAATTTATGAACCAATCATTTTTCTAGTAGTTGCGGCGTTCTTTTGACTAAATATTGTGTCTCTTGCAGAAAAACAGTTCCGCATACCACAATCGGTGAAGACTACAGATGGGTTCGATTCGGCATATACTGCCCCAGTGGTGGACGTGGTAAACAAATCTGTAGAAAACATGTCAAAGGATAAGTCTGTTGGAAGTCAAAAACAGGCTACCGGCAATATATGCAAAAAGATCGAAAGTGTGTTTTCAGTTGTTTTGCAATATGTTGTGCTAGAATCCTTTGAAATCTCGTGGTAATCTGTTATAACCGTTTGTGATTAATTCTCTTGTTATTATTCGTTTTTAGATGCACCTACTGATGACACCATTGATATCGGTCGTCTTGATCTCCGTGTCGGTCGTATTATCAATTGTGAGAAACATCCGGATGCTGACGCACTGTATGTTGAACAAATTGACGTTGGTGAATCGAAGCCTCGAACTGTAGTGTCAGGGTTGGTTCACCATGTCCCCCTTAATCAGGTTGGTTATCGTATATTGAAATTTTCATCTAGAAAACCATTTAGAAGTAACCTTATGTGAGATTGAGATCAATAAACCCCATGGTTACTGTGTTGTGAGAATCAGTAAAAGTAAGGCATGTTCCTAGAGGACCTGCGGATATAACGACGGGCCAAAATTATTCTCTTTCATAGCCTTGGACGCAAGTGGATTCTTTCGTTGAACTTTCTGTCTACGTTGCCGATTGTCATATAATTTCTGTATACACGGAAGCATATTCGTGCGTATTTGGATATACCTGAGTATAACGGAAGTTATGTCTTGCACAACTGGACTTCGTATCGACGTACCATGACACTGGACTACAGTGCGGTGTATGTGTGTACAGTGTATGGTATTGTGAAAATTTGTATGTCGAATTTACTTCAATACTAGTATAAAAAAATCCTCATTTCTTAAACCCCGAAGAACCTCAAGTACGACAACTTTCAGTTGAACGACTGAGAAAAAGCTGCTGCAATCTCAAGGATGTGGTAGACTGCTTTGATCTTGATGGACGCTAATAATATGATTTTCTTCGTATTTTTGTTTAGCAAACGCGAGGTGTTACTATTCTTTGTTCACGATTAAGCTGACGTTTCGGCGGATTTCGCCTTCCTCAGAGCCGCTTCCTATGAGGCTTCCACTAAGTATGCCACGTAGAGACCTACCGCACAGAAATTACGTGGAAGTATAATGTATTATGCGTGTATATATATGGTCATCTTGCACAGACTTACTATACTATACATTATACTTCCACGTGATTTCTGTGCGGTTGGTCTCTACGTGACATACTTAGTGGAAACCTCATAGGAAGCGGCTCTGAGGAAGGCGAAATCCGCCGAAACGTCAGCTTAATCGTGAACAAAGAAAAGTAACACCTCGCGTTTGCTAAACAAAAATACGAAGAAAATCACTTGATCAATGCCGAGGTTAATAGAAAGTCGGTCATGGCAGCTAATAATATGCTCAGAAGCCATTCTTAAAAGCTGATAATGTAAGCTAAGTAATTGAACTGGCCCAACAATTCTCTCATCCCTTCGGAGTCTGGAAATTGGTACAGGACTTGTTTAAGAAAGCCTCACTCTCTGCTATCCAAATGAGAACGCTCTACATCGGCTTTCTCAGGATTTCAGGAAGAACGGACTCGACCGGCCTTCAAGGACATTCATGATAGGAGGAAAATCCCGAAGCGGTAGCTGAAGCCACACACGTAAAAAGTTAGAAGTCCTTCATGAATGATGGATGTGAAGGAACGAATCGAATGCGAGATGTGCTGAGATCCACACAGTTGATGTGATGACGGGTGGTATAAAAAACAAAAAACGTATATTTGTACATATTTACGTGTATCTATACATATTATATATATGTATATACAATTTTCTGTTGAATTCCGTTATACCTGTGACAACTAATTTTATTAGGAAGGGATTTTCTTATTGCATATTTGAGAAGCCATTATTAGCCATCGGAAACACCAAACGTTGTCATCATTTTGTATAAATGTGTGTATTCATATATACACATTTATACGTAGACAATGTAATTTGTAGATGCAAAATCGGCTTGTCGTGGTTTTGTGCAACTTGAAACCAGCTAAAATGCGGGGAGTTGAGTCAAGAGCAATGGTTATGTGCGCTTCTTCTCCCGAAAAGGTTAGGTTTTTTGTTTTGTTGGGTTTTTCCAGATTTGTAAGATGATTAAGACTATCTGGTTCAGGTTGAAATCATGGAAGTGGATCCCTCAGCTCAACCAGGCACACCTGTTATTTGTCCACCCTATTTGCACAGGCCAGATGTTCAGTTGAATCCAAAGAAAAAGGTGTTGAAAATCATACTCAGGTTTATGTATTTTAAATACATGTCTGTTAGGACTTATAATATATTTCCGATGGCGCTGGGGTTGCTTTCCACTCTTCCCAATATAAAGATGTTGAGTCATTGTGATCAGGACATACTGTCATTCCATATTGAGTTATACCGATTTTCGCGTTTGATGAACCACTGACATAAGAAGAGTAGGAATTTTTATTGATGCAATTCTGATAAAAAACGACAGATCACATAGGGAACACCACAATGTTGTTCACGTCCTCGCTTTATGTGGGAACTAAGTACAATGCCACTGGAGTGTAAAATTGGTTGCAAAAAAAAGAAAAAATTAAAGCTCTTTTTTCAGAACCTTCATTTTTTTGTCTTGTTAACCTTGTCGTATTCTAGATTTGGGAAACTATAGCGCAAGATTTGAAAGTGAACGAGGATGGATACGCTGTTTGGCGTGACACTCTTCTTTTGGTTGGTGGTTCCACAAAGATGACCGCACCGACGTTACGTGGTGTTTTTGTGAAATGAGCTATTATTCCTTTTCTAGTAGAAATCGATATCAATTTTTGTTTCGTGTTTTTACATTGAAATATGAAGCTTTTCCGGACTAGTCGCGACCCCGATAAAGTTGTTTCTCCTTTGGATTGTTTATGGGTTTGCTTGTTCTTTTTTCTTCGCATGGATTTTCTGGCTTTCGATAATGTGTTGTATGAAATGTTGATTAACTTATATTCTTCTATCATTCAATTTTTGATATTGCCTTCGTGAAGTTCATTAAAGTTTTAGTCAAACATGTCGAACGTTTCCGTCGTAATCATTGATGTACGTCAACTAACTGCTGTTATGTGACAATTCTGTTGTATGTGTACGTTTGACCGCAAAACAGACGGAGATTAGCCTACAAACTTCATCCTAAAGATTCCTTACACTGAAAGTTTCTTGGTAACTAATGTTAGTTTTTCGAACTAAATTAGACTATGGTAGTGACTTGTAGCGATCGGGGTATAGCACAGTGATTAGTTATGCCTAATGGGGTAGCTTGCATAGATTTTGGCAGTCTTTAAAAGTACAATAATTTTCAAACTAGGATTTTTAAAGTTAAGTAAATTAATTGGTACGAGCAGAACTATGGTAGAAGTCCGTTATTCGAAATATCTATAGAAACCAAAAAAATATAAGTATAAAAGTAAGTCTAGTCAGCCAGGCTCAGTGACCTTAATCATGGGTTGCTGTTCACTGACTTGAGTGATTCATACCGAATAGCTGAAGATTTTTAGCCATGACAAAAAGAAAAAGGCAGAAGACACTGGGATTGGATGATGAGCGGTTTGTACATCTTCGATCGGACCCGAAGTTCTCAGCACTAAGCAATCGAGAGAAGAAGGTAGGCGTAAAACATTGGGTGCCATGCTGGTTTTTCGATGATTAGAGCACTTGAGAACCTGTGGCCTTTAGAGGAGAGTTTGCTTCATCGTCTTAAACGTATATTTATTTCTTGACCCATCGTTTTAATTTTAATTGATATACTATATACTTCCATGTGATTTCTGTGCGGTTGGTCTCTACGTGACATACTTAGTGGAAACCTCATGGGAAGCGGCTCTGAGGAAGGCGAAATCCGCCGAAACGTCAGTTTAATCGTGAACAAAGAATAATAACACCTCGCGTTTGCTCAACAAAAATACGAAGAAAATTTTAATTGAATTTTTCAATGAATTTGAAACTAATTGGAGAAGACCACCGTGCACTACTAAGGAGCATCAAGCTTATGTACTCCCCTCTTTATCCAAGAAATGGGTGTGGCGAGAATTCCAGCTATTGCTCATCAGGTCTCACTTCACTCTGGAGTCGATAAATTGGACTTGTCTGAGATCGTCTGACAGGGCTTTTTCAAGACTAAGGAGAATCCACTCGACCTTTATTCACCGACATTCCCAACAAAGGTGAAAATCATCAAAGAGCTGCTGAACCCACACGCAAAAAGTTCGAAGGTTTTCGTGAATGATGGATGCAAGGAAATCAATTGGATGCAGGAAGTGCTGTGGTCTGCACAGTGGATGGAAGGACGAGTCATGTGAAAAATTTAATTATTTAGTTTGCAAAAGTCATTGGTGCCTGACGTTAAGGGTACATTGGAAGCATGAGTAGTTTTCCCTAGCTTGACTTCGTTTTTCTGCTGCTTTAACATTTTAGGTGTGCAAAAAACGAATTAATGGTTGACGATCCATAGATCACTTCTATCCCCCAAACTAGTTTCTCTTCATGAACGTTGCCGTCTCCTTTTACTTATTTCATTGTGCACCTCGAAAATATGCAAGCTAAAAAATTTGCTGCTTTTCGGTGGCAAATAGTTGTTTCTAGGAATTACGCTGCTATGTTAGGTATAGGTTTCATCGTCGGAGAACACTTGCCCAAGATAGGGAGTCTGTTGTCTCTATTCAGAACGAAAGCTAAGGATAAGCCTATGCCAGTATTATACTTACAAGAGCTGTTATGTAGGAACTTGAAGAATGTTCACGAAATAGCTTTAGATTATATTATCGTTCATAGGTAAGTGATGGTATTGCCATAAGACTTCTGCGACTATTATGTTTACGAAATCAGACTCGCTCCTTGATTTTAATAAAGGTCAAATAGTATGTTAGATTGTATTGCAGTTTTGACAATTGTAGCATTTGATTGTGATCTATACAATGCCAGTGGAAAGTCTGCAATCATGCAAATAGGAAATATATAGGTGGTTCGAACTCTTTTCCAACAAACTGTTGCTTACTCCGGAAGGAAAAAAATATAAATAAAGTTTAATAAACTACTCATGGGGAGCCTATCCTCAAACATAGTGAAAGTAAATGACCTTCGAAATTTCTAAGGAGATATAAGTTTACCAACTTACTTTATCTTGTCTCAAATATGCAAAATTGCGGAAATTACTTTGTAGTAAGTGTTATGGAGCATGTGGGTAGCCCAGTGGTTAGTGATGCCATAGATGGGGAAGCAAAGGACGTTCGTTCGATCCTCACCCAAACGCTCTCGGCCAGTCTACGTGGGAGCTCCTTAGTCCAGCTATCTCCAAGATTGTAAGGTGAACTGACTCGACCTGCATTCGACGACATTCATGAAGAAGACGAAATCCTCAAGCAGTAGCTGAAACAACACACAAAATGTTCAAAGACCATTGTGCACGACAAATGCGAGGAAAACGAAACGAACCGAATGCAAGAAGTGCTGGAATCTGCACAGTAGATGTGATAACAGGTCATGTAAAGTGTAAAAAAATGTTACGGATATGGCTGTTATTATGGCAGTCCTTGAAGACTGAACAAATACTCATACAACAATTAACTTCAACAAATGTATTCCTAATTTTAACCTCTCCAGTGTCCCGCTTTGATAAGTCGTACGAACCCAGATACTATACAAAAGGGTACCGTTTGGCGTTTGTCAGTCTCTGAGGGATGTGTCATACATTCGACCTAATTAAGCGTCGTATAGATGATTTAGTGCGTTTCCGGTTTGTGCAATTACTTGCGAGGGCCTTCCGATGTGTCAAGTCAGTGTTTTTATCCACACAGACAAGTTCGGTACCAATTTCCCGATCCTAAAAGGTTGGACGGCTTTAACTGCCCAGGGCACGTGATCCAACGACCATGTGTGTACAATGGCATCTTTAAACGTTACGCTACACGAATCTCAACATATTGAGAATAATCTCAATCTCATATAATCTCAACTATCTGTCTAACAGGCAAGTTGCTAATAGACGAGACTTTACCTCCAATTCTCGACAAATTCATGCTAGTGCGTTATCAGGTTGTCAGCACAGGTAGTCTTGTTGATCGGAAAGAGGTTTGAAAACTTGGGACTAGGTTTCCTCCAGTTGGTGGAGCTTTCTTGTCTTGTATGGCGTTCCGGAATAATACGGAGCCTTTTTCTAAGCTCACTGACATCACTACGTAGAACTCTGCCATAATGCGACAGTAAACCTTTTAGGAATGAGGGTTGTTCTATTCTGTTTGCGAGAAACTAAATGTTTATAAAACAATATCAAAAAAAAATCAGCGGCGAACCACGTCTCGCACAGAAGTCAAGCGTAGAATTCTGTTTACCTCCTTTAGGACATACTTCTTTGAGACCATAATTTGGAAGCTATAGGAATCTGTTCAGGTTACCATAGAAAAACGATTCGCTGCTGCTCTCAAAGACGAGAAATTCTCATCCAAAACTCGCGTTGACAAGCGGGGTAGACCCTTGAGGAAAAGAATAGGTAGATTATTGTCTAATAAGTTCGAAAGCTGGAAAACTTTGATACCCTGAATCTTGTTTTTTAGGTAGCCTTTCAAATTTGTATGAGTTGAGAGATAGCGACGAAGATGTACTTGGAGAATTACCAACGAAGAAAAGCAATGCTGGTGAGCAGATGAGCCAAAATGGTAACACCTTTGCAATGCATTCGGAGGGTGTTGAGCACGATAGTCACAGTAATCCAGATGCTGGTAATGGATCGGATGAAGATGTCAAATTGAAGGAAGGAAAAGAAAAACTAACTATGAGCGATAGTGATAATGAACGACCTTTTAAGGTAATCTCTCAAATAGTTTTTTTTTTACAAAAATAATATCCTGGTTTCTACTGGAAGGGTCAAATGGTTCGCATTACAGTTTGATCTTGCTCGTGGTGAAGGTAATATAGCTTCGTCTTCTGATGATGATGACTCAGAATGGGAGTGGGAGAACATGGAAAATGATCAACTAGAGATTGATCTGGCACACCTTGATCAGTGAGTACAGTTCTACATCACTAGTTACATTTGAAATGGAATTTGGTTTAAATCTACTTGTCCAGTCTATTTCTTCTGCCTATCCGTTATCTATAGGGATGCTGAACAAGTGGAATGGGCGACTAATCGGATTGCTGCGTGTAACATGGATTGGAATATCGTGAATTGCGAAGACTTAATGGTGCTAGCGAAATCATTCGCGTGAGTGCAAGTCTTTTTTTTGGTAGTTCATTAATGAATAAGAGCGCGTGTGGCGCAGTGGTCGGAGGCGCCCTGCAGTACATATGGGATCGATGCCGATGCCCCAAGCTCAACAAGCGTTTCATCCTTCTGAGGTTGGGAGATTGGTACAAGACTTGTCTGGGAGGATTGCAGCATTTGCTCGATCAAAGTGGTAGCACATCTCCACCGCGAGTCATTGTAAAAGCCAAATATGCATTCAATCACGTCCAACGACATTTAATGAAGTCGAATTCATGGCCCATCCCTCAGGGATTGATCAACGCCAGGAGCTTTATGCCTTATTATCCATTAACGAATATATTCTAATCGAATATAATGCTTCAATAGTTTTACATATACGTATCTAATTCTATCAGATTTGTAGGCCTCCTAGTGGTTCTATTCGTCGAATCACCATTTACCTGTCTGATTTTGGATCTGAGCGACTCGCCGAAGAGGATAAATACGGTCCAAAGCTCAAACTCAACAGACCAATTGAAGAATATGATGGTGAAGAAATAGACGAGTAAATTTTTTACCAGCTTTATGTTATTCATCTGTTTTTTGGCTTAACCTTCATTTTGAGTACACGATTTCTTATGTTATGGAACCTTAATTTTATCACTGTAACACTAAGCGCTTAGATATTCGACGTTTAGTGAAACAAGTTTGGCTATAAGAAGATATCAAGTAGAGCAGTTGCGGTACTATTATGCTATAATCGAATGTGACTCAGTGGAAACGGCAATCGCCATCTACGATCAGTGCGATGGCTACCACTTTGAATCAAGCGATCTCAAAATGGATCTCCGTTTTGTGCCAGAGGGCATGGAATTTGATGTATGCGACTCGGAAATTGTTTTGTTTTTAATGTTTGTACTTCTTTCTAATGGTTAATGGTTTAAGCAGGAAAGAATCAAAGAAGAATTGTCTGAAGACGATGTCAACATCTCCAAATATAAGTCTAAGGAAAAGGTAGGCTTGTTCAGTACGCAATTTCGTGTTATCTGATAAGTTCTTCCTTCTATGTTATATTCTTGTCCAAACGAGTGATAAGCGTTAGCCGTATCAATCCACTCAATCAATCAACACACAAGCCATTCCGATACGTTGGTCCCACATAGCGCGCTGCAATGTACATGGGATGGAGTTCCACTCCCAAGGCTCACGAAGCCCTCCATCCCTCTGGGGTCGTCATATTGGCACCAGACTTGTCTGGGAGGAAAGCAGCACTAGCTCGATACTTCGGTAGGCCACCACGAGTCGTTGTTAAAAGCCAGGTATGCGTTCAATCAAATTCATGGCGCATCTTTCAGGGAATGATCAACGCTGAGAGCCTTTCTATGTTGTGTCCTAGGTAATTCATTGTTTTACATTAAGCTAAAATCGGCCGTAGCGTTGTCAAATGCTCGAATCGCTTGGGACGAGACAGAGGAGTTGCGATCAAGGAAATTTGCGGAAGCTTTCAGGCATGAATACGTTTTTCAAGCTTTTCCGTTTTTTCTTTTAAATATAGTCAAATATAGAGAAACTTCGTAAATGTAAATAATATAATTCGATTGTTCTCGAACAATAAGACTAACTAATATTCTTATGTAGAACACTAGAGTTCCGTATTTCTGAAAATTTGGAGATCGTTCTTTTTGGAAAAAAAATCACTGAGAACCTTGAATATTTAGTAACGAAGACGATTTCTCAGCTGAACTCATTGCTTGTTCTGATTCTGATGATGACTCTGACAAAGAGAAAAATCGTGAGGCATTACTCTCTCTTATTAGCAGCAACGAAATTAGCGATGGTCTGCAAGTGAGTATATTTCGCTAGACTTTGCTGTACTACGTAATGTTGTTGTTTAGTCATATTAATTCAATGTCCAATTCGGCTTGTTTCTGAGATCAATATAATTTGAAAGTCATTAAGCATTTTCGTAGATTGATTGTATTTTGTAAAGGTTGATTGGTATAAACGTCGTGGAGAAGGAAAAAACAGCGAGGATGAGGAAGACAAAGAAGACGAAAGCGAGGCTGGAAACTTCGCCGGGAGCCACGAAAGCAACGACAATGAGAAAGACGTAGATTCGACAGTCAAACCAAAAAAGAAACAGGTAAACATTTTCGCGGAGTAGTTCTAAAGATTTACTATGCTGTACATTTCCTCCACTTATGATGTACGTCGTAGTCATCCTCCCAACGGTTTACGACCTCATCGTGGCTGGGAGGTGTTCCTGGGTATCCGGTTGCAATGTACAACGGAGGGATTCGTCCCTCCAGCAGGGTCTATCAGGCTGAGAAGAAGTCCGGCGTTTTTATCAATAAGCCCAGCTAAGAGTAAACCAATACCAGGATCCACAACCGTCCTGGTATCAAACTAGTCGCATGGTGGCAAATCTCCCCTTGATCCACAAGGACGGCGACTGCTTGTGGTGGTAACGACCTGGGGCAGACTTTGGTCTGGCTGGCCTCGGGACTCCAGAGATCTACAATGGCTAAACCAGCAAAACTCCGAAAAAGTGTACATTATGCTGGAGCCTGCACAGCCAGTGAAAACGGGCCATCCAAGTATCTTAATATTATGTGAATGGCTCGTAATGAAAAATCGTGCAGGCTCTTGCACATTTTACAATTATGTTGTATGATGCTGACCAGGCAAGATTTTCCCCGTGTTCCAAGGAAACAATATCCCATTCCTGTCCTTATGGATCGCGAAGAGTTTTCCCAACGTGTGACAAGATTCCTTACAGAAAGGTTGCGATTCTTTCCTTAATAGGGCTCTGGATTTCAAACTCAAGCTAGGTAACTTCTGTGACGGATTAAGACCCCGTTTTACATTGCAATTCAATTCATGAACAGTTCTTATATTTCTAGACCATCCATTTTCAGAAGAACACCTACAAAGCTTATATGGAGAGACGACGAGAGGAAAGAGCCAAACGAAAGGAAAAGTTGCGCATGTTGCGTGAAAAGGAACGCGAGGCGCTTAGTCCTGCTGGTGATCGAGCTAAGTTGAAACAGAAGGTGAATTTTTCTTTCCTAAGCAGATTTTTACGAACGAAAGTCCCCAGCGAAGCGTAAGATCGCTCATTCACCTTTTTGAATTACAGAAGAATCGTGTCGCTTTGAAAGCTTCGAAGGAAAAAGAGGACAAATATACTGGATCAGTTGAAGCAGTGTCTAATGATGAACGATTCAAGGCTTTGTTTACGGATAGCGCTTTTGCAATTGAGCAAAGTTCTAAGAACTACAAGGTAAAATCTTCCGTACGTACCTTGATGATTGCTCGTATTTAATGGTAACCATTTTAGGGATCGAAGTTGATAGAGAAACAAGTATCGGCAAAGTGGCAAGCTGAGAAAGAATCTGTGAATGAAAGTAAAACTAACGAGAATGACCTTATTTCCAAGCTGAAACAGAAGTCAACAAAGTGGAAAGGTCGGAGATAATATGTCTGGAGTGGTTTTTCCTTTTCCACATCCTTTTTCACTATTTGTACCCTCCACATGTACTGATTCTATTACATGGTGTAGACTCTATGAACGGCGGTCCTCATTGTTGTTATTGAAATGGAAATATTCATTTGACTGCGGTAATAGTTAATAATAACAGATAATGGTTTTTTAATCTTCTTTCTCATATCAATGGGATGATCTGCACAGATATAATACAATCATATGTGATCAACGGAGTGTTAATTCTCAAGCACGAAGATTTCTTGGTGGGGTAATCCCCTGGATACTACAGGGCGAAGTTGGAGAGGTGATGATAAGAGTATCACATAATGCTCAAGTAGGATAGGTAAGCACAAGTTTAGCTCCATTCGAATATCCTGGAATACCAAATAACAAGGTTGTTATGGCATACGTCGTTGTTAATGATCTCAGAAGTTAAATACAATACGTATTTGACGATCAACGGTGTGAGAGGGATAGAGATAGAGGTCTGAGACATAACAGTGTAACTTACCAATACCATTGTTCAATCACCTGTGCACAGCGATCACTATCATCATCGAGTAGGTCGAGTGAATGTCACTAAACTCTATTCATCTTCGTCGCCCATCAGCGACGCTCAGTGTGGACTCTTCCATCCATTCGTGGAAGAATAAGATCATGAGACTTCTGACATAATTTGCTTGCTATTCTTGAGGAAAACTCAACCATGATTAGTTTCCTAGGCATTACGATGACATACGCTTGCTGTTAGGTGCGCTTCCGAACGATTTTAAACTCCTAGCCATTCCTTTTTTCGGTGACTTACGTCGTTTTGTAGTTCTAGTTCTTCCAGTAACTTTCAATCAAGTCGAAAAGCTTTTACACTTACGGTTGTAATCAATGCCTTCATGTGCAGTTTGAAAATAGCCCTTTTACTATAAAACAAACGGCTATGCAACTAAGTAACATAGTCGTGTACGACTTCTATTTAAGATAATTGTGTCGCTAACCTTCATTACCTCGCTATTTCCGATCACGGGATGAAACATCAGTACATTCAATAGTACTCGGCCTATCATATTTCGTTTACAAGTTGATTGACTGTACATGATAAAAAAGTGGGAGTAGTTGGGCACAATCACCATAGTAACTAATTGGTCCACAGATAATGGCAAAATCTTGTGATGTTGTCGTTGCCTGCGCTCTTCATTTTTAATATTTTAAGTGTTCAGAACGATCTGGTGTTTCGGTCATATACAGAAGCCTAGTAGTGATATTCACCCAAGCGAAAGCTCTTCAGTTTTCATGCCACCTGCTGAAAGATTTACTAGACCTATTAAAGTGATAACAAACAAAACATTAAGATAGTATATACGCTATGACCGGAAACTGCTAACAAGAGATCAGATGATAAAAAGAAGAGGATTATTTCAAATCTTCGGAGGAAAACGTAAGCACATAGATTTTATAACAGAATTCATGTAATTAGCATAATGATTCACCCATATTTCATTACATGTAACAGAGAAATTTCAGAAAACCGAAGTGATTTAAGGAAGTTATGGAGCATGGAGTTTCACTGGTTACCATTACCCCTGCACAGCATCAAAAGAAAAAGAATTAGTCGAGAAAATATAGAGCTATATCTTAAGCTGACCTATTTCATTGGTTGATTTTCATGTCCATATCTACAGTAACAAGTTCCATTCCACTGTCTAGATAAGGGTGTGCAGCTTCGTGCTTGACAGCGGCGTCGTCACTGCCAACTTTACTTTCTTTACTGTCGTGACCTTTACCGCTCTTGGACATCGACGACCTCTTACGTGAACTTCTCATCGGTTTCAATTCCTCGAGAGGATATATTGATTTCCACACGATTTCTTAACAAAGTAGTAAAGTTCTTGTTTTCGTTTTGTAGGTTTAGATTTCCTAACGACAATAATTTGATATTTGAGGTAATAAGTTTTCAGTGAAAGAAGGGTCTGTGATACTATACTAGTTTCAAGATCTAATCCTCTCCCTCATTTCCTTGCCAAAAGTTAATCTCCTTAAAATGTATTGCTGTCAAAGCACCCAATGCCTACATTAAAACCTTACACTGTATCAATCTTCATTCAGAATATTTTAATCGCAATAAGTTGCATATATAAAAACCGTCTACAGAATTATTTATATAGGCGTTACGTAATAATTCCACCTACCTCCTTTATTCTCCGCTTTGCAAGTATCCAATGGGATACCGAGAAAACGCAACACACGACTCATTACATCATCCACTAGTCCATGAATTGCCAAATCCGCCTTTTTCTCCTGGAATGGACAACTATTTTCCATAAAATCTCATATCTTATGGCTTTCAGGAATATAAACTGACAAGATACCTGTCAGCATATTTAGGATAAAGGCGCTTTTTCGATAACTAGAGTGATTAAGTTGCGAACTGTACAGGCTAGGATTTGCCTTATCACTCTAAAGGTATATAACATTCTTCTTAATCGTTCTATCAATCTTAAACTTGTTTAAATCTCAAATCAACAAATGAAGAGGAAAATTACATTTTTGATTTTTAACGCAAGTGCTGCATTGCATTTTCTATGAAATCTGCATAGTACAATCAATACCATGTTTAAAACGAGGACCTCGACGATAAAAAAAGCGAAAAAAGATTTCGAGTAGAAAAAACCAGGATTTTATCGCTGCACAACTAAAGGTTTCTCGTTGGAAACGATTCCGTTTTCTCTTAAACTAAAGAGCATTATTAACAGCTAAGCTCGTTTTCCGTTGAGATGTCTTGCAAAGATTGGTCTTATTATTTTCCTCTTTTTCTACAATCAAAGAAGAATGTGATTTCAAACGAGCATACTCACTCCTTTGTATGACACTTTTGACGAAACGGTGCGCAATTTTTCGTTGTGTATGGTACGCATCGAAGACAAATTATACCAGTTACTGTGCCCTCCTCGTAGTTCCCCCGCAAAAGACTGCCGTTTTTTATCTACTGTGTTATTCATTAATTTCCTGGTTGATGATATTTTACGCATCCCCTTATCCTCTAAACTGCCCACCCTCGGTTTTTGGACAATTTTTAAGGATCATGTATGATGAAGGAGTCGTCCACCACTGAATCGCGATTCCGTCAGGTTTTAGTAGTCAGTTTCACAAAGTAAGCTGAGTATTTGCTGAAAGTTTGGTTTCGAACTTCGCATATTTTCTACAACCGTCCATTTGAGCACTCGGAGTTGAAGACCTGCAGTGTTCTTAGAAATATACTGCACACATTAATGAGTGGTCATTCTAGGTACCTATGTCAAACTATCTTAAAACCTTCTTCGTTTTATCTCACTGTCATCGATCTAAAGAAGGCTTTTGATTCCGCTGAGATAGAAGCGCTCACGGAAACCCTGGACAATCAAGAAGTCCCTACTCAGTATATAAAGATTCTTCGTGAGCTGTACAAAAATTTCACAATCAAAATATCAACATTCCACAACGACATTAACATCGACGTCAGAACAGGATTGGGCAGGGTGATACCAGCTCGCCAAAATTATTTATCGCCACCCTCCACAACGTCATGCGAACATCGGAGTGGGATAACATGGGAGTGAAAATCGATGGTCGGCAATTACACCGTCTTCGCTTTGCTGATGATATCGTCCTTATAACACCAAACAGCCAAGCGAAATGGATGCTTGCCGACTTTGATAAAGCCTGTAGAAGGATTGGTCTCCGACTAAACCTCACAAAAACGATGTTCATGAAGAACGGATTGGTTTCGTATGCCCCATTCACTCTCAATGGAACGAATATCTCCGAATACTCCAACATCGTTTACCTAGGTCGGAAAATCAACGTAACGAACGACTTAACACCACAGTTGAGCAGGAGGAAGCGATCGGTTTGGGGAGCTTTCAAGAGCATCGAGAATGTAGTGAGGAGAACAAAGAACACCCAACTCTGTGTCCGTGTTTTCGACCCCAGAATTCTTCCTGCCTTAATGTCTGCGTCAGAAACCTAATCAAAAACCCGCGCAGCTTTACGAAGCGCACATTCAAAAACACAATCCTAGGTCTATCGCGCATCACGCAAATGAGGGAAGAAATCCAGAACTCCGACTTATGTGGACCATCAAAAGTTAAAGACGTCGATGTGGTAAACTGTCGAGGGGAAGGTGAGCTGGACACTTAATGCGTATAAAAGACAACCAATAGAAAAGAGCCCTTAGTGACTGGATTCCTCGGATGTCAAACGTATTGCAGGAAGACCACCGAGCCGATGGTCAGAGTTCTTCAAGAAAACCCTTGAAGAAGTATATGACGCTCAACGAATCCCTAGAGCGAGCAGAACCCAACGGGCTACTCTTGCACCCGACAGGGGGAAATGGAGTATTGGCGCCCGCTCGAGTCACTCGACGACGATCAATAGAACGACAGGTAAATACCGTCTTCTCTAGCTACATTTGCGCCTCCAGAAGAGCAAATTCGTATGGAAGAAAAGTTGCGAATTCTAATGTAAAGGAAACAGACTTTTTCAGACGACACCTTGTACAACGTATGTAGTAAGAAAACAATCCATTTAATAAAAAAGTGTAGCGGATGTGTTCCGTGACTCTGAATAGAAGAAGAAGATAATATGAGTGGAAATCTTCTCACACCGATCATTCTACATCATTCATTATTGATCAGATCAATTTATATCGCGTTGTAAGTGTTAAACTCCTGATGAGATGATAAAGAACAGCAAAGTGCTCGTTCATACACACAGTGTTCTTCGAAATGATTTATGTATTCTAAACACCTAACTTATGCTGCATAACTTGATACATGTATGAAGTTAATTCACAAAGTGCAAATATAACAAACTATAAAATGAAATATTACTCTAGAAGAAACGTAGCATAGTGATAGCGATGGTATTCATTATGTAGAACGGCCAACCAACGCAAGCGCTAGTTTGAACCCGCCTCGACCCCATCAATTTTTCAACTTTCCGGAGACAAGAAGTTGGTGTTTGGAACAAGGGCAGGCCTTTTAATCAGCCTGGAAACGCCCTATCAGTGCTATCACAACTTTCCATGAAGAACTGAGTCGGTCCGCATCCAAAGACAATTATGGCAAAGAAGGAAATTCTCAAACAGCTGCCGGACTCACAAGCAAAAAGTTCGAAAACTTTCGCAGATTTCTGGCACAAGGAAACAAATGGACGCCAGAAGTGCTGTGATCCGTAAAATACCATGATGTCGGCCCTTGTGGACAAAAATATAGCTCAAGTTAAGAACTTACATATGTGAATCAAACTTACATAGAAGTATATAATCTATTGAAAACCTACATGTTTTGTAGCTTGCAAGTTCACAGTTACCATTTTTCCACCATTTCGCTTTGCTAAAAGTGGCATGTCGCCAACCGGTACAATTTGGAGTGACGTTCCCAAGCACAGTGATAGATCCGCATTCTGAAACAAACTTGACGTATTCTCAACTGTGCTAACCTTTCGATAATGAACGATACTTCTTTTTCCAAGAGCGAAATCATTTTAAGAATTGAAACTTAACATATAAAGGAGACTGCTATGTCATACCAAGACTAAATATGACGTTTGAAAATGCTGTTTTGGTTTTAAATTTACTTGTAATTCGAAAGTTCGTCGAAAGTGTTTATTTGTTTCTACATTTGCTTGAAATACGTAACTACTTTCGCGCGTGTAGGCATCGAAATCAAAGCACACGTTCGACGTAATGTTACCTACAATATGTGGAAGAGGTACTAGAGATTGTAATCGCAACATTTAGCTCATATCGGTGATCTGTGTATGAAAAGAAAGGTCAAAAGTTGTAGTTGACTATCAGTATACCAGACTCCATGGAAGATCATTCATCACAGATGCATAATTACCTTAGCATAATTGTTTGCGATTGTAAAGTGCGGTTCTGGTAGTGCATCTTCCCAATCAAGAGTGGTATCACGCAACCGTCCGCGACAAGTACGACCACTTGGATTACCTTCACACGTACGACCAGTGTACTTCAGACCAACACTCCCAATAGCGAAGTTTCGATAATAATGCCTATCATTAATTAATCACTTGCTTAATGTGACACTTCATTAGAAACACTGAGGTGACGGAAGTGAAAAGTGAAACAAGTGAAAGACAGTACTTGGCTTGCCCACACAACAACAAAAAGTGTTACCTTGAACATTTCTCACATCTTTCACAAAAAACATTCCCATGAAGTTCAGCTAGTCGGTTTAGGGGAAAAGAGGACCGTGGGAGCAATCCGTCAACATTTTGTGAGACTAAAAACCTAAATTTTAACTTGTTCACAAACGAGGTATGGAGGAGAAAAAAAGCCTTACACACCTAATAAGACCTCTCTCTTCAAGTACTCGAAGAGCATGGTGTGTGAATGTAGGACGAGCATGTGTGAAATCAACACTTTCTGGCACACGACCATCCTTCTCGGTGGTCCACACACCGTTAGGACCCCGGAAATCGGGGATTCCAGCAGAAGTTGAAATACCTTAAACCACCTTATGATGTTCAAGATTACCAAACACGAGCAGAACTTACCAGCTCCTGCTACAACGAAGACGCACTTGCTATGAAGAAGAAGTCTGGCGAGTGTTTCACATTTCTGATCTAATTCACCAGGTGAATCTATGAACTGGAAAAGGTGGGAGATTAAGACTCAGTGTTTACGAAGCATTAAACACATGTCATCGCTCCGATGGTGAAGCTAGTGATCATATCAAGAGTACTCAATATGCTCCCTTCTTCGCACAGGAAATACACCAATATATAGATTTTTCTTCTTATTTTATTTTATTTGAACCGTCTTCAGTCCGCGATGCTGATTCCAGTACTTCTCACATTCGATTCGTTTCCATCCATTGTCCGCAAAGATCTTCCAGCTTTTATGTGTGGTTTCGGCTACTGCTTGAGGATTTTCATTTGATCTTGAATGTCGTAGAATGCTTGTCGAGAAAGGGTTTTGAGATAGCCGGGCTGGAGCGCTCCCAATTTGATTGCAAAGAGTGGTTTTTTTCCCGACAAGTCCGGTACCACTTTCTCAACTCCGAAGAGATGAGAGGCTTGGTTGGCCCAGAGCGGAATGGAACTAGCACCATGCTCGTGATAACAGATATCACTACCAATGTGCTATCCACCCCCTATATATATATTTCTTGTTTCTATATAATCAAACGAACATATAGATCTACACAGCTACTAAATGAAGGTCCAGAAGATCAACGTCCTTTGGACATCTTTCTAGTGACTTGATTTTTTGTAGAAACTGGAACGTTTGTTTTACAATGCAAGCTACTCGTGAAATCTTTTATAGGAATGAATCGCACCTCTGGCATACCAACTGCTCCCTTGTTTTCGTACGGTGATAAAGCCTGTGCGTAATTGATCGACATTTTTCCGTACGCCTTCTTAGATCTCTGGAAATGCCAAAACACCAAAATATTGAGGACATACCAAAGACACTGAACGAAAGCAACGGGAAATAGTTTCTTTCACTGCGGAAACAACAGCTCTATAACTAATAAATGTGAAATAGAACACGAAGAACTGTTATGGATTCCACGGAGTAAATAGTTTATTTTCAATTTACAACTTTCGAAACGGGGTGAAGAAGGAAATTAATAAATCATTTGACGAGTACGATATGAAGAGCAAATGGAATGGGAAATAAACGAAATACAGAGAAAGGAATTTTGTCTTATGTAGCGCTCGAGCTCGCCCATTCCTTCAGAATCTGAATATGCCAGTGATTTTGATCCGCAATACTCTCCTCTACAGCCAACACACCTGGACAACATAACGTTCTTGCAGGTAGTTTCTAGTCAGCCCGAGGCAAACTGGTACTCTACTAATTATGGATACAGCACGAGAAGAACAATGCGGATGTTGAAGAATATCTATACATTGCGTTACAAAAGATTCACGAAGATGATCCATATGTCTAAAAATAAAATGACATTGTTTTACCATTATTCTCACTTATTGAGAACTTACTGCATTTGCCTCATTTTCGTTGCAATCCTTGTCATCGCCATAGCGATAGCCTGGAGACTTAGCTCGGCAGAATATGGCTCAACGCATAAGAACCTGAATGCCTACGGTCATCGGCACACGTCTAACCTGTACAAACATATTAATCTTCAAATAATGTATTAAAACCCACACATATACGATTTTCACCTATAAAGACATGTTTAGAAAATTCTGCAAACTTAAAGAAGTTATTCATGATACCTGCAAACGGTTCTACCGAGGTAGGTGAGAAACAAACGACAATGTACACCGAAAACTCGTTCCTAGCATATTGACACATTTACAATATTGCACAACAAAAGTGCTAAAGAAGAACAAGTAGAAAGTCGCACCTCATACTACTTGAATCTGAATGACGTGTTTAGTGAGCCTGGAGTGAGTGACAAATGATGCTCTTCATTGTTCAACTACACATTGTGCAAGTCAAACTTTTCGTCCGTCCTGATCCGGAAACTTGTTACCAGAATTGTCAGTTCGGATCAGTTCGTCTTTTGAATCCACAAAATCTGGCCCTACATGTGATGAAGATCTCGGAATGCTCCAGCCCGGTTAAACCAGGATTCCATGGAGAATCGACTTGACCAGCATTCAACGACATTCAAAAAGGAGTTAAAAATCCTCGAACAGCATTCGAAGCTATGCGCAAAATCCAAGGACAATCGCGAAGTACAAATGCGAGGAAACTAATCAAGAGCAAGAAGTCTGGGATCGGCACAACAACATGGTCATTTAAAATTGAATTAAACTACAAAATCTAGCGATTCGATTTCAAAACCCTCAGATTTTCAATTTATCAACCTCATGTAAGCTTATAAAAGAAAGAATATATTTAGCAATTCTATTCGAGGGTAGAACCCACATTCAGAAAACACTCACGTGTTCCATACACATTTCTCTAAATGTGCTCTCAGTTTGCAGTGAAGCCAAATTATAGCAAGTAATTGTACTTCCGAAGAAAACGGAAGAATATTAAGAACTGAATGGATTCCAAAGGTACCCATTAATAGTGAGTTTTCACTCTGGAACGTTTTCGATGAAACACCTAACATTAATCCCTCTACCGATTCTACGAAAAAGCAAAATCCTCCTTTTTACATGTCTTTTTGTTCCCAACTGCTCAATAGAATACAACACAGCTTAAAGTCAACTTATTCGTTATAAGCATGAAATCATAGATACGACGTAAAGTATACTGAGTGATATATTTATTTATGTGATCTTATAAACTGGTCCTCTTAAGCTGACGCGAGGTTGGTACAGATCTTCGTTGTCGTTGTCGTTGTTTTTAATGCTATTGATCGATGGCTGACGTTCCGGCGACTTCGTTTTCCTCAGAACCGTGACGTTACGTGCGAGACTGAATCTTTCCACATATCGATTTAGAGTAGAAGAGGAGTCCCGCATGTAACATATCACTGCTCTGAGAAAGGCGAAGTGGCCGAAACGTCAGCCATCGATCAATAACATCAAAAACAAGACAACGACAACGAAGACCTGTAACAACCCCGCGTCAGCTTAAGAAGATCAGTTTATAAGATCATATAAATAAATATATCAACTATCTATGCTGAGGTTTATAGAAAGTCGGTCGAGTTATACTGAGTGAGTAGAATTTATAAAAATAAACGCACATATGATTAATTTCTTTCAAACCGTCTTTGGGATCACAAGTTTCACATTTTGCTATGATCTTCACAAAAGGAGACTGAAGAAGATCGTGAGGCACCATTCGATTCTCTGTCACATAGTCATCTTCGTAGCACCTGCAAAATATATGAGGTAAAAGTATTGTGTGATACAACCACAATGATGTTGAGATATCTGCAAAACTCCGGATCGCAGGTGTCTGCAGTGGAGAACGAACGCGCTATTACATTTTTCGGGAACTAACGCGTTTACCACCACACCGTGCTGATCCTTCGTTTCCTCTGTCTCACAGTTAGAACTATTGCAAACTTGATTTGCATGTGCTCAAATATTTGAAACGAAATAAAACAGAAAAACCTACACTTTTATTGTCGACGTCAAAAAGTCATAATCCACTCGAGAAATATGGTCTAGGTGTAATTCCTTCAGCAATGTTAGCACTTCCTCATGTGCTGCTACTGGGGACATTGCCACTAAAATCTCCAGGCAAAAGCGACGCTCACGTATATCTGGCGTAACTTCCAGCAATTCAATCAAAGAAACCAGTAATGAATAAATAGTCCTGAACTAGTACAGAAAAGCTCAACGAATGAAACGCACCACATCGGTCAATAATCCACCTAATGAAGAAAACTAGACCATGCATACGACATAATGGTGTTGGAGAGGGGAAAAACGTAACGTAGGGAAACACTTTGACCACATGCAATACTGTCAACCCCCGCATCAGTTAAAGTGGTTATCATTTAATTTTCAATTTGACCTTGCTGAGCACCAGACTTCCAGGTAGGCCAACTTGCCTAAGTGACACGAAAACGTTTACACTTCTCATATAAAACGCATTATTTTTGTTATCGGCGGCAAGGTGATTAAGGGCATTTCTGCGAGAAAGAGTAATTTATCCAGATGTTTGAGGTAAATTTGAGGGTTATTTCTTTGAGATGATTTCAGTCCTTTTGTGTTTACTATGTAGATGAATAACTTCAGACGTTTTCAGAAACCGAGTTGTAGGATACTCGCTTGTTTACTTAGATGGCCTGTCTTCGTGTATAATGTGAACCACATCTCTCTTTCCATTGACTTCCCTCGCAATCGCTGTAAGTGGTCTATTTGAGCATAGCGAAGTTTTTACATGTCTGTTCTTATAGATGGATGTTCTTATAGATGTTCTTCTAAGCAGGCTTCGTTGAGTGTGAAGTATTTATTCCATTGGGATTCTCGTCCATATTTCGGAAGACTTTCCCGTTATACCATCATCCCATTCCAAAGCATACATGACTAAATTGGGAAAACGAGAAAATTTTCGAATGTCTGAACCGTAGTTCATACATTCGAAAATTTAGTAGTAATCAGTAATCAAGTAGTGATTGCGAAGACATACTTTCTGATAACCTCCGGTTCCTCAGTGCAAACTGGTTTGAGATTGTATGTGCCGGTTATATTCCAGAATACACGGCTGAAGCACTTTCTGAGTTGTGTTAAAATCTCGGAGTGGCTGAAGCGGGTATAACCCGTTTCGGCAACATAGCACAGCGTGATAGGACCAGGGCAAGAATCTAAAAGGTTAGCGTTGAGTTACGGTTCCGTCAATGTCAGTGTTGAGTTTTGGACCCGTCAGCTGACGTTCGTCTTTCACGAGAGGCCGAATGCATCATATACTGTTTCATTTCTTTATCACAACTCTTTCTTAACACGATTTTTTGGCTTCAATATACGCCCTGGACAAATGCAGGTCCTTTTTACAGCATAGTTAAGTTCCTTGAGCATCATCTCATTATGACAAGTACTTCTTGAGAAGATTACGATGTTGTAAGCCGAATAAGCATTTGATAAGAATTTGCCGGCAACGTCTTCTTCGTCTCAATAAAGTGATCTCACTATCCACTACAATAAAGCAGTAAGCAGATGTTCACTTACATGATGGAAACTAGTTGAAAATAAGGAACTCAATTACTTGCTGGTGAAGGTGTCCGAAGTAAAATTGAGAGTGTGGACCACAAAGCTTTAGTGCAGGGCTGATAAGTAAGAGATAGTGCACAGAACGCTATATTTAGCAAAATGTCGAGTTTACTTAAAAATAACTACTTACTGCAGCACCGACGCAGAGTAACAATCCAAATGTCCTAGAGTAAGGCGAGAAAGGAAGCTCAGAAGAAGAATACGCTGAAGTGATGGTAGCATAACCAATGATGAACAGCGCTTCATTATCTGAGGAATAAAAGACAGTAGTAAAAATTCACGATATAAATGCAAATAAAAAGTAGGAAACTTCACTTACTCCGATCCAGAATTTAGCCCTCTTAGAAACAATATAGAAGGCAGGTACCACACGACTTTTCGTAATGCAACCAACAAGAAACCCTAAACATAATATAAAATTACAGTAAGTGGTTCTTTTAAACAATGACTTGGTAAACAAAGTCATATGGAATCAACTGGACCAGCTTACTCGTCTTTAACAGCTTCAGTTGACCTTTTCAGTTACAAATATAATGAACCCCAAACGAACATATACATTTGGATACTTGAACGGCCCGTCCCCAATGATTGTGCGGACCCCAGCATAATCACCATTTTTCGGAGATTTGCTGGTTAAGCCATTGTGGTTCTCTGGAATTTCGAGGTCAGCGTGACCAAAGTCTGCCCCAGCTCGTCACCACGACAGGCAGTCGGAACCCTTGTGGATCAGAGGGAGATTTGCCACCATGCGACT